AAAATAGCAAAACTAAGTAGTAAAAATACAACAGATCCTGTTTTGTCTTCTAATTTCGGGTATCTATGTATGTAAAACTTTAAATTTTACGAAAAGTTCTTACGAGCAGCTGCTGCCTATGTCAGCAACGCAAATGCGCTACTTGTAAGGCAAACTTGTTTTTGAATTATGCATTTTGTTAGTAAAAGTGGTATTAGAACGATCGAGAACTGTAAGCAAACTGCGCAAAGTATTTTACTAACGTACCAATATACTCACGTTTTTACATATACTATGTATACTTTTAAGTATGTCCACTTACATACTTACTCGTATATGCAACCAACAGTCTTAAAAAGGACAGTCCAGCGGCGGTAAATTAATTTTTAAGCACTCATAACGCTTATGAGGGCGCATGAAACAACAAAAAAAGCTGCGTGGCATCAATAGCATAGAGTGCTACCGAACTGACGCAGCAGCTTACATGGGTAGGTTGCGTAGAAGCTTCAAGTGCTTACAACATAGATTGCAATAACAACAACTTACTTCAGCTCATTGTACTCTGTAGAACTTTTTATAAAAAACTACCTTCAAGGTATGTAATATTACAGCTATTTCGGAGCGCGTGTAAGCTTCCCATAGAAGACACATGTTTCTTGTGAACGGTTTAACTTAAAGACACCAGAAAAGCACATGTGTCATTCCTAATAAACTTTTTGGCATGACAAAAGCACACTAAAGTAAGAGGAATTTCCCTCGTATACTTTACTTTTTGTTATTGTTATTGTAAAAGAAGTTTACTTCTGCAATGTTTATTGGCATTCTTAGGGTTAATTTGTTTGCTCACAACTTCATTAGTGAAGCCCAATACTTTTGCATATCTTTTAAAATAACTAATGATAAAAAGACGGTTTTAGCAAATTTGAATGCAATGTCCCGGAGTCTACCTAGCAACCTTGCGATCGACCACAATACGTGCGGGATTGGATAGATACCGAGAGATGAAGCGAGAAGCAAGACGCATCGGCAGACAAAAAGAAAAAGTGGCTGAGATGTGTGAGAATGAAGACCTTGAAAATCTGGCCGACAAGGACACTCGAAAATTCTGTTAGAAGGTACGGCGACTTACCGAAGGTTTCAAGACCGGAGCAGACTCTTGTAGGACACAAAGAGGTGATCTAGCCACCGATGTCCAGAGTATATTGAATTTATGGAGGGAACACTTCTCCAACCTGCTGAATAGTAATGAAAATGGAGAATACGGAGATAGCGAACCCGAAACTCCAATCGATGACAAGGGAAAATACGTTCATTTACATGACCATAAAAATGTTTGAATAGCAATCGGGCGGGAGTTGACGGCCTACCGGCTGAACAATTCAAACATGGCGGTGAAGAGCTGACAAGGTGCAAGCAACAGTTACTTTAAAGAATATGGTCGGACAAAAGCATGCCCGATGATTGGAATTTAAGTATGCCCTGCCCAATCCATAAAAAAGGGTGTGCCACAGTCTGCGCGTATTGTGTGAAAGACTGAAGCCCACCGTCAACAAACTGTTTGTACCTTATCAGTGTGGCTTCAGATCTGGTAAGTCAACCATTGACCAGATACTCATCATGGGCCAAATCGTAGAACAGACCCGCGAAAAGAGGATAGACACCCACCTCCTCTTCGTCGTTTTTAAAGCCGTCTTCGAAAGCACGAAAAGGAGCCGCCTTTTCGCCTTGTCGCTATGTCTGAATTTGGTATCGCTGCAAAAATTATACGGATGTGTAAACTGACGCCAGACAACACCAGAGGCGCAGTCAGAATTACGAAGGACCTCTCCGAACCGTTCGATACCAAACGAGATTTAAAACTGGGTGACTCATTGTGGTGTGATTTACGCCGATGATATTGATATTAGCGGCCTCAATAACTGCGCCGTTAGTTCCAGCTTTCTCCTGGCTTGATAAAGAAGTGGAGCGAAAGGGTCTGGTAGTGAACGAGGAGAAGATAAAATATTTCCTGTCATCAAACAAACAGTCATCGCATTCTCGACTTGGCTCCCACGTCATCTAGGAACCAGCATTAACACCAATAATATCGTCAGCTTGGAAATCCAGCGCAGAATCACTATTGTCAGCAGGTGCTACTTTTGGCTGAGTAGGCAATTGAGTCGAAAGAAAACCAAACTCTACGTACCCCTCATTGTTCCCGTCCTGCCGTATGGTGCGGAAGCATGGACGATGCAAACATCTGCTAAATGCTAAAAAATGTTCTTCGAATAATAATAAACGTTCACCATTAATTTTGAATTTTCTTTGCTTTGTCCTTGAAAAATAGGAAAGGTCATAATGGGTCACCCTGTACATATTCACATGCAAACCGGCCCATCGACATCGTGAGCTAATAACAGTATTCCCTTGTATTCGCTTATTATATTTTGTCTCTTTTGGTTTTGTGTATATTGTGACCAATGCGGCATATTATAATGAAATTTCATTTAATATATTATATTATATTTTATTATATTTATTACACGTACACACATACATGCATAAATAAAGTACACTATATTTCGCATATGAGTGTATCATAATGCAGTGACCGTTTATTCTTGCCTTGTTGCTGTGATTTATCACATTATCCCATTATTACGTATAATGCTCGCATGATGAACAAAATGTGAAAACAACTGACAGCGATACATACACGTGTACACTCCCATATACTCGTACATACTCACGCGCGCAAAGCAAATGCAAAAAGTTGGGGGCAAATCTCGTTTTACGCCTAATAATCATATAGCAACAGCAAATGTGTTTGTGATTGTGTGTGTGTGAGGCAAATTAAATACAATCGAAAAGCTCATATGCAAAATAGTATATTCACAAATACATACACCGTTACAAATGTGCTATAATAAATGGGCCTACAAATTTATTTAATATCATATTTTGCTGCATATGTATATACTTGTATATATATATTTATTTTATATACTATTAAATTTAAGTTCATTTATACTTATATTGTACACATTTATTTGTTTATTTGTACACATATTTATTTGTATTTATATCGAAATTTAGGCAATTGAATAAAATTATTATTACAGTATACTTTAAAATGTCGCGCGTTTAATAGTGTTGAATATGCTCGCCCACAACACACACACACTTGCACAAACTCGTAAATATTGCCAAAATTATGAATACTTTATTTAATAAACAATTATGTGCGAGCACCAACGCATTCCATTTCAATCAAAATGACAACAACATTTGCATAATGGATTTTTGAAAATCTCCACATTTTCATTATGCGAAAACAAAATTTCCAAAATTAGTTATGCATAGTATTTGCCAATATTATATTCAGCGAAACATGCTTCTATGCACGTACGTACAATATATATACAAGTTAGGTATTCAATACTAGTAGCGCATTCATTTGACAACGTTTATTAAAATGTTATGCGTATGTACATATGTACACGTGTATGCGAGTAGATTGCAACAAAATTGCCTATTTGAAATGCTTAAATATTTATTTAGCTTTTGGCAATGCACTCTAAATTATTTATTTATATTTTTTTTTTTTTTTGTTCTGCAAACGTTTAAATTTATTGAATCGCTGAAGGTCTATATTTGAAGCACCAGAAGCGGAAAAAACTTTAATTTTACGAATTTCCCGGATACCCATTCATCGTAGTCTGTGCGTGATCAGTGTTCTGGCGATCGATTATTAACTATATTTGGGAGGAAAATACTTAGAGATGTTGCGATAGCAGCTTTTCGACGACGAACCTTCCTTGTGCTTGTGGGTGGTCGTTCTTTGAAGCACAGATACAGACAACCTAATCGATATGACGACAGCCATATATCTCCTACAGGCAACCAAATTTTGCGCTCCAGCGAAATTGATCGACCTCAGCCCGTTTGGCTGAAGTTCCCGACTGTTTCTTTTCCCACCTTAGCGTTAAACGTGCCAATCATCATTTTGACTAACTTAATCCGTCCTTGTGACGGCCATCGCACTTCTTTGACGACCACCACTTTTAGTCTAAAGGTACACCAACTCGCTGGACAGTCGTACCTTCCCAATTCGCGTACCGCAAATTGCATGTGCATGCCTTTTAATCGTAATACTGAAAACGATTGCGGGGGTCGTTATCAAACACGCAGGGGGTTCGCCTCCAAATGGATGTTAGTTGGCTATCCGAAGGAGACTTAGTCTATGACCGTAAGTCGTGAACCGCTTGAACCGTTTGTGACCACCCCCAGATGCATGGCAGCCAAAATTTTCCTATCTTGCGCGAATATCTACACATGGCCCCATAGTAAGCGGCTCAATTAGCTTTCCATACGCTGAGGACAAATACGTCACGCAGCATTCACAGTTATGACACCTTGCGCTATAAGTTGAATTCAACGCCAGTTGAGTTCAAAGCGGCCACAACCGGAAGGCAATTGCGCCATTTCATTTCATAACTCTGTAATATGAATTTTCTTCTCTCTCTTATGAAATCATCAACTAAATTGGATTTAACTAAATAAACGAAGACTATTGTAATAAATTTAAATTGAAGCCATCAGTGGAAATCTACGGTACAAAGCTGCCTCGGTGAACTCAGACGACAGTATCACAGCGGTCACAAATGCGAGTAGCGGCTGAGTATTGAATGCGGGCGAAAATTTTGAAGCGATTAACTTTATATATTGGAAAAATAAAAATGAAATAATTAAAGACATTAACATTGGAGGAGTATAATGTAAAAATAAAAATATAGTTAGTTTTTTTTTTACGGTAAAGAAATAAGTGAAATCTAGGGAAGTGCTGAAGCAATTCAAAGCTATATACTCGTAGTTAGGCATCTCAATGACAAGAAAATTAAAAATCAAAACAAGTACAAAAAGTTTTGCTCAAATTAATAAGTTCAAGTAAAATAAAAAAATATAAATAATAAAAATGAAGTTAATTTAATATGAAGTGAATTAGTTAAATATTTTATTTGCCGATTTGGAAATACAGAAAAATTCATTGTTTCAAGCCTTCAATTTAAAAGCGCATTTTGAACAATATTTAAGTAAATATGTTTGCACAACTACAACATACGCCTTCGACCACAGCATACTTGCTTCTTCCACTTGTCTTCGCCAGTTGGCTGCAAGGTGTACATTGTCGACCCTCTAGCAGCTACACCACCGACGGCACTGAGCTGGTGGTTGTCAAAGAAATTGTACGCTGCACTCGGCAAGGCCTTCATGAACTCTGTCAGAATGTCACATCAGGAAATGACGAAGAACCTAATGGCGGTAATGAGTCAATGATGGACATTGTGGATGACTTGATTTTATTAGAAAAGAGACCAAAACAACATCAACAGCAACAACGACAGCAACAAAGGAAAGATAATCATCATCCCTACGAAGCATATCAACAACAAAGTGAATTGTTAACATCCGCCGCCGCGCGGGAAGACTCATTAGTTGCTGCCGCCGCAGCTGCACCGGCTATTGGTGATCCTTCCGATTCCACAGCGCTGGGAAGCTCATATCAACAGGACACCTTTGATTCGGATAGCGATAGTAATGCGGACGGCGCTGAGGGCTCTGATGCGACTAACGTCAAAACAACGGATGTGGATGCCGTTAATGCTGCCGCAGCCGATGAAATTATTGCTGATGGCGTCTTATTTCACGGTGTGCTAATGCGTCTCGCCGATGGGCCACACACGGTGCCGCAGCCGGTGCCGCCCATTGACATGAGCGCTTTCGTGTCACTAATACCGGCCGAAGAGGTTAAATCGATTGCCACCAATTACTACAACAATGATGCGGAAGTGCGCCGTGCCTACGCCTATCTGAGTGGATCCGACTTTATTGCGCTGCGGCAACGCATTGTCGACTCACCGGAGGTAGGAGCCTTTTTACAGTATTTAAATGTGAGTGGGCTTGATGTGTTGAAGTTTGTGTCTGCCATTGCAAATTTGACGACGCTGGACAGTGGCAATGCGCGTAGCGTCGACAAGTCAATTGAAGTGAACAGCCGAAGCGGCGAGGCAGAGCAACAGCAGCAGAGGTTGGGAGCGAATGGTGAGTGAACAAAATATATGTTTGCATTAGTGGGTATGGTAAAAGGATATTTTTTGCTTAATTCAGCCATCCGCAATTTAGTCACAATTTGAATGTCAGGACATCACGAAGGATAAGTACTTAGACACAGACATCACGTACCGGCAACAGTCTGCTGCTATATATCCCCAAATATTTTACAAAAAGAATATAGCCTAGCAAACTTCACTCATAAATCGCGCGGAAAATCTTAAAATTACGCAATGCAATTCAAGTCCTCGCCATTCGCTGTAATATCCTTGGTAATGCAAATACTTTTGCACTTTTATTTCAATCATTAAACATATTTCAATTGTTTTCAATGTCATGGCTCCTGTGCTCAGTTGACTGCGAGCTGAAATGGTGAACACTTGCGAGCACCTCATGGTGCATATATAATCGTATATATTTACGTTCGCCTGCGAAATTTCCAACAACAAACCTAGCCGCTGAACCATTGGAACATTGTAAAGCGGTCCGGTCATGAAATGAATTATTTTATTGTAATGCTCATACGAGCGTAACCTTGATTAAAATATACACATAGTGAGGACTATTACAGTGCCCATCACATATACAAAAGTAACTGTTGTACATACGTAATAATATAATAATCCCCAAATATATTCGCACATTCTTTTTTTAGGCTAAATTATATAAAAATCTGAATGTATATCAAATTTACTGATTTTTATGGAAAATCTGCAAAAATTTAAAGATTTTTCAGGACACTTCAGTATAAAATGGAAAGATTCCTTCGGGCTTTTAACTCGTTTTACTGTTTAATCAGCTTGAAGTTTTTAAAGAAGGGTTCGGTTGACGAATAGTAAATGGGTTTTTAGTGGTGACGTTAGACTTGTATTGAGGTATTGAGGTTACATCATCTTCCCAGTTGATCAAGTCATGTAGTGTTTCACTATGAATTGAGCAAAAAATTCCCAAGCCTATGATCTATGGCCGGATTTGACAGCCCATAACACCATTGACTCCAGTGCTGATGACGGAATTCAGCAAATATTTCGCGGTAAGAGACACTTTCTAATCGTATAATATGTGTCCCCTCGAATGTTACTGTGTCTGGGGGGCTAACAGAAAATATCTTACACCTGAATTGACCACCCACGAGACGCCTTCTGTAATTTTCCGCCACAGACTCTCGCTCATGTCAATTGCGTGTAGGTACAACCAAGTCCAACCACAAATACCAATGCGTTAAATGACGACCACTCTCGTTCTAGAAACAAGTCTGGTTGTGCTTCTAAAGAAGAAAAATAGTTTGCGTAAAATGCTTATGAGCAATGAAGGGGTCTCTTCAAGAGACTAATAATTATCTTACGTTTATTATTTATTTATTTCAGAAATATCTGTTGGAGAACAGAATGTGTCACCTACCTCTAAGTCACTCTCAACAACCTTCACAGAAGCAGGAACTCAAGTTGCAACAACAACAGCGGTTGAACCCATAACGCTGCAAGGCGAACAACTCAACGGGTTGCATGGGCTGGTGGATAGTATTTTGGAAATTTTACCACAAGATCAAATTCTAGCCACTTTCTTTGACAAACTCGAATCGGATGAGAGTTTTCGAAAATTCGTTAACAATATACAAAGACCGTCGTTCGCGCAGATACTCAGCAAAATGGAGGTAAGTTGGCTAAAGCAGATAGATAGATATATATCTGATATAGGCAAAATTCAACTTTTTAGTCGGGAACGGCAAATTTTTAGAGGTTTATGTTTTGAAATTATTTAGCTGCAAGTACTCTCAGTAAAATTTTATTGCCTTGAATATTTTTTCTCTTTAAAGCGTTTGCAGTGCACTCAATTATATTGGCTTTTGCCCAGTCACACCTTTTTCGCCAAAACAAATCAAAAAAAAAACTCTTGAAAAAATAAATTGACTATTTCTATTATGCTTTTTTTCGCTTCAAATTGTTTTGCATAGTTTGGCGCGCACACGTCCGCAAGAAATTTAAACAATATTGTGTTCAATATTCGCCCTCACACGCCGCTCTGTGGGCCGGACGTTTTCAGTGTATTTTTCCCCTCGCCCTTTTCCTGGTTGGTAATAATTTGACGGCGAAACGTGATCGAAATATTTGATGCTCAAATTTTTTTCCTACTTTTCCAGCAGCATCTAACAGTTTTTCACCTTTTCTTCACAACTTGTTTTCAAAGTAATCCATTTTTATTTCTTTATATTTTGTATATTCTATAAAACTCTGTGTATTCGTTTATTATTCCCTGCCTGTTGGCTGTCATTGTGCGTGAAGGCCCAGCTCCTTCATTTCTGCTTTGTAGGGGAATACGCGTACAAATGAGCTTCCGTTTTCGTTGTTTGCCTAGCGGTTTCCGTTGTGGATATTCGTCCTTTCGCAGGACTCTTTTAACAAGCTTTTGTGTTCACCTTTTTCTTTTATAGAGACGCAGTGAACCTTGGATATATACAATGCGTTCGCCTTTGACTATCCTAAGGAACAAAGCTCTTTTCGACATTTTAAAGTGAATAGGAATTTTTCTAATTGGCAATTGAGCTGGAAACGTGAGAAAAATATTTTATTATTGTTAATGTGAATATTGTTTATATGAAATGGGTATAAATATTACGGACAATAAGCAAATCGTATACAGTTTTGTTTGTAAGTAATCAAATTGTATTATTAAGTTGTTTACTCAATTGTCTCAAAAAATATTTGGTACTAGATTTGCATCCGAATCCTTACATGATTTCAATAAAAATAACTCCTTTGAAAATCTTGTAAACCCTAAAATTTTCACTGCACTTTTTTACTTAGAAGTTTTCGAAATTTTTCAACAAAACTTGATGTCTCTTGACAAAAAAATCTTCGGATAAGAACCAAGGGCATAACAATTCAGTAACAAATCGCCATTGAACTTAATAAAGTGTGATTTTTAGATCACTGCCGAACAGAAAACCAAATCCTTTGTATTTAAAAGTGGAATCTTTTTCATATTAGCTCCTATGAAATTGCTCAGGGAGTGCTCGTAGCTCACATAATATTCAATAGAAACGTTTCTTCTTGACATATTTTCAACCAACATAAATAAGAAAAATTTTAGCATACATGGAACAACTATCTTGATGTTTATCACTATTGAATTGATTTGTCTTCGTCTCATTTAACCATTCCAGCGCTCTTCAAATCCTTCAGATAATATATACATACTTCATATTAATGCTAAGCTTACCTATTTTTCTCTTCTCTTTTTTCACTGTCTTTCAGCAATCAATGGCTTTGAGAAATTTAATTTTCACTTTACACAACAACGGTATTTACATAACGCGAATTGTCGACTCACTCAAGGCATATTTCTTTCTCGGCGGCTTTTCATAGATCGACCGACCCAATTAGTCAGAGAAAAGGTACACAAAAATAAAAAGCTAATGTTGGGTAGACCGAAATCGAGGGCGCTACATAAGGAGAAGGAGAGAGAGGAGACTGCGCAACTAATTGGATGGAGAGAAGAATTATTGGGTGTCCCAAAGTTAAAGCAAGATTTGAGTTAAATAAAAAACACAGCCTTTAGTGATTTTTCATTGAATCATAAAATACATGCAAATCTTGCGTTAATTTTGGGACACCCTATATAAGATGTTTAATAAGTAGAAGATGAAGAGTTGTAGTCGACAAGAACTATGCGAAGGTAAAAAGGGTAATAACAGAAGAAATGGAGAAACACGAAAAACAGTAATGTTAAAAAATGTATAAAATAAAATTCATTAGATGTACAAAAGTATAACGATGTTTATAGTGATTTTTTTTTCATTTCGCTTCGTGCATTTCATTTTCCATTTAATTCACTTTATTGCTCCGAAATCTCTCAGACATGCATGCTAACGCCAAGTGTACGGCACCTGAAAGCGATATCAAATCATAACAACAATTTGTGCAGATAAATTTTTATACGCAACGGGTGAGAGCTGCAGGCAACAGCGTTGCAATAAAATCAAATAATCACAAAAATTGCTGGACGAGTAAATATACGTGTATATATATACTCGTACATACGAATTTGAGCAGGTTTTGTGGTCCCTTGTCCTCCATTTCTGCCGCCAATCAAGCGCATTTAGGAAGCAAATGAACAACAACAATGATAAACCGAAGTAAAAATGGAAAAAAGATAAAACGATTTGTGAAATATTAAAAAGATTGAAAGGCGAGTTTATGTGCGCGATTGGGGTGAGTGGCTAATGGCTGCCGAATGACGGCTGGCGAAGGCGTAGAAAAGCCAGCAAGAAACATCTCATCCACAAAAAATGGGGCGCACAGAATGGAAAGTGTTTCTTTGTTTCGCCTTTTATAATAATTTTATTCGTATGATTGCACTTTTATGGCAGCGAAATTATGAAAAGTAGCTAATATTTGCCTTTTGTTGGCCTTTTTGAATCTGCAGTGCAGTTTGGGGCCGACCCTTAAATGGCGGCATTTTGGCAAATTGGCTTTTCAATTTAGATATTTCTTATTTATTTGCCCAGGTGTGTGTATGTTATGCATATTTTAATGTTCAAAAATGGAATTGATTTGGATGGCAGTCTGAATGTTAAGCTGCTTATTGTTAAAAAAAATTTAGCCAATTAAATATGCTCATGAGAAAATCGGAAACAATTTTAAAATCTGCCGAAGAAAACATTTTTAAAGCGAGACAGAAATTATTACAAGAATATTTTATTTATTTATCATCATTATGCGTCTCTATTTAATAAATTTTCTTAAAGGCAGTCACTCTGCGTAGACTTTTTCCCCTCAAAGTCAATTGGAATTGTGCGGAGGGAAATCATATTCTGAAGAAACTCATAAGAAACTTTAAGACTTCGTGACCAAGCTGCACTGCTGCACTCTTCATTGTGATTGTTGTATATTTTACAGCAATTTTTTATGTGTTATCAAATAAGCAAAAAATTTTATTTGTAAATATTTTCATGTACTTAATAGTTCCAGAAATATCAAAATAAGTTTGAGTATTCAGAATTCACAAATATTTAAAGTAATAAAATTGACTTTTAAAGTCTAGATATTTATGTTTACTCAACGATATTAAACCTTCGTTCTTGTATTTTCGTATGTACGTGTGTATGTAGGTATGCACGCTAGGTATAGTAATTTAGTAATGCAGTCACTGATGTGGTGTGCGTAAAAATATGACACCCTTGAGAATTGAACTTTCCGAAAACAATATTCGCTCAACCCAGATGAGTTACCTGCAACAAAAGGCCGGCTGCGTTGGCAATCACACATTGTTCTAAGAAGAGGCACAAAATTCGATTTGCCTTTATAATGAGTCGACAAATATATAAAAGGCGTCTATCTACTTAGGTAAAATGAAGTCATTTTGGAGAAGAAAAAGTGCGCACTTAAAAGCAAAGTTTGCGCCAAGGTAAGAAAAACTTCGCTCAAATACAATACAAATACTACTACCTACTCTTTTTTCAAAATGCTCTGCGGCGGAGGCGCAACTGTTGCACGGCGCTGATGGAGATTGAACCATGAATACCCCTATAAATCACTGATGCAAACTTTTCAACCTCAAAGAAGAACAAAATCAGAAAAAAATAACGCAAGACAAACAAATATACAAACAAATACATGGAAGAGTGTGGAAATCTGAAAGTATTCCGCCTAAATTGTGCGGGTTAATTCTATTTGGCAAAAAAGTATGTGCTTAACTTTTTGGCATAAAAATTGCGAAATGTCATTGGACCTGCTGGTAAGTGGCGCGCGAAGAAACTTTGACATTCCCGCAAGTAAATATCTGAAATATTTAACAAAAAAAAAGGATAGGAAGAGACATGAAAGCCAAGCAGAGCGTGGTAGGAACAAACAAAGTAAAGCGTTGTGGAATGAGAGATATAATAATATAAAAAAGTAAAAAGTTGCAAAGAGTTTGTCCCATGAGGGCAATTTTGAGAATAAAAAAAAATATTGTGAAAATAAAATAAGAATATCTCATTGGCAGTAAATAATTGTGCTATATTTATAAGAGTATGACTTTCAGTGCCTTAGATAATAAATTTATACCTGCATACTCATGCATACAAAGCGATAAAAATCAACATTAATAAAATATGCAAAAATTGTAGCATATGTTCGGGCGCTGAGTGTAACGAACCTGCAAAAGACAAGTTGTTTAAATATATATATAAAGGGGTTAAGGTCATGGAGATTGCCCAGATGTTGGGATAACCGTTTTAATGTCCAATTACCGAGTCCGTTGAAGCTGTTATGCCATATTGGTCTGGCAGATGTGCCAATGATTACAACTGAATGTAACTTTGGTTTGGAAAATATGTATATATATTTTACCAGTAGAGCTAGCTACAGTGTTGTGGGATTCTATATTTAAACAATTTATATTCGAATTAATATTGCAACGAACCATTAAGAATGATCATATAAAGTTTACTTTTATTTTAGTATTATTTCTACTACTTAATTGCTTGTATGAGTCACTTCTTCGTCGTTCAAAGCCTTTCACTTGAAGAAAGCTAATCACACTTTTCATCCGGATACACACTCATACACACTCAAGTTGAACACATAAGAACCCCATCTATCGAATCTGTCATGAAATAAAAGTCTCCTCATAAAAAACCATTCGGAGGCGGCTTAGTATAAACTGTAGGTCCCTTCAATTCAAAACTACTAATTGGAGAAGGAACTTGGCCACATTGGCTAGTTGTCGCTCCATTTTTCATAAATATATATATATATATATGGATATTTAAATATATTTTATTTCAGTTTTATAAATTCTGGAAGAATTTCTGTTTAGTAGTTTTTACGGTAGAAATATAAACAAAATTTGGCAAAAGAAGATTATGTGTAGTTACAAGCAAATTAGCTTTTTAATTTGTTCTGAAATATATACTCATATACTCCAAGGTTTTTTTATCTCTGCCATTTGCTGCTACAATAAAAAATTAGAAAAATCCTTCTAGAACTAATATTGGAAAACATAATTAAGGCCCATTTGTTGTAAGTAAAAAGCAAGCAGAAAAGAAGCAAAAGAAAAAATCCCAAAATGTCAATCTCGCAGCAAACCCCACGAGATCGTACGCTCTCAAAAAGCAAAAGCGTGTGCTGTGATTAATGGTTTTCGCAAAAATGGCAGCTGCTGCCAATGTTGCAGGGTATCTGACAAGCAAATCATTGAAAATCACTGTTATTTTTTCATTTATTTCACTCAAGGTTCATCGTCGCCCGTGACTTTTAAGTATTAGAGCTTGTCGAATGCATTTACCAACCAACGAAGGATTAAAATGCAAAGTTTGTATTTTACCTTGACTTAATTTAAAAATTCTTCTTTCAGTAAAAACAATTTTTCATTCTTGCCAAATTTACTTTGTACACATTGTTATATATAACTTACCCAACAGTGCTTTTTTCAAGAGCGAACATCTGCCACATCACCCCGTCAACCACGTCACCCACGTCAGCCGCAGTGGACCCGTCGCTATGCCGCAGTCATCATAAAAGCGCCAAATTGATTTGCTTTAGCCATTCAATAAGCCTAAAATCCTGTAGAGCTTTGTGCGCATCCTGAGCATCCTCTGAAGCTCTGGCAGACGCGCTTGCATTTTCAGCCCACATTTTGCATGTACGAGTATTTACGGCCTAACCCAGCGCTATTTCCGCTCCCGCCACGATGTGCCGGTAAACCCACTCTGGCTGTGTGCGGCTCAAGTGGCGGGATGTGAGATATGGATTTGTTGTGTCGTGTGCTTGTTCGTGTAGTTGTATATGTACAGCTGTTGTCATTGTTCTTTGCTCACTTGTTTTTACCAGCGGTTTTTCCATTTTCTGCTTTTCCCAAGGGGTGACCGGAAATCTATGACCGCACTTAGCACTCGTTGGTACGAATAATTCCTAATTCGTTTGTCATTGTTGTTAGAGATGTTTTGTTATTATGTATACTTAGAGTTGTTGCTGTTGTAGTTTTCTATTATTGCTATTACGCTGGGATCAAAAGTTATTTGAAATTTGTGCGGGGATGGACATTGAGTTTAGGGCGTACATAGCACTCGTAAGTGTGTGTTCTTTGGTTCTTTGGGGTTCCTTGCATCAATGTGACATTTCAGTTAAGCCTAATAGTTTTATGCATTATTGATATAACAGTTGAGATTTGTGAGCACAGCGATGGAAAACTGTGTTGGAAGTATCGTAGGGGAGCAAAAGTCTGGCTGTATTTACTTTAAAAAAATATATACCAATTACTCGTATATTGAGCTAATATTACTCTGATATTCTTCAAATTATGTAATAAGCAATCGAAGAAGAAATATGCGAGAGATCGATAACGTACCGCAGAGTTTACCGGGGATATGACTATTCGTTTCCGGTGTCCCTATAACCAGGAAACATAACCAAGAAACATACCCAGGGACTCTCGGACGCATACAGTTGAGAAAACCTATAAACTTCAGTTTCGAAAAAAGTAAGAATGGCAACTGCTTCCATTTTTTTATCTATCTACTTTTCTTACTTCTGATGACTAAGAAAAACGGCTTGAAACTGATCCATACCACCTGCTTAGAAAATAACCCCAAAAACAATTAAAAAATTTTCAAGTTGAAAATAAGTTGTAACAACACATACAAACATTAATTAGATTATAATGACCATATTAAATCAATCGATCATTGGGGCAGACCTTCATAGCTTATACCATGTACACTTTACTAGAAACACTGTGTAATGTTACAGATTGTCTGTCTTGGGTTTCTAGTCTAGTTTGAGGAGCATTACTCCTTTCTTGGTAAATTGACATATGCCTGTCCCCCGCCTTCGAATATTGCTGATTGAAGATCCATAATATTATAGTCACCAAGCATGATCAGTCTCTATATATATTACGTGCTCTCTTGCCTTGTCACGTTATCAACCAGATCTAATTTGAAGGCAAAGAATACCCACCGGTAATTCCCCTTCAATTGTCCTACTAGCAACCTACGTGCAGATTCTGGCCTCCTTTTTGCTAATAAGAACTTAGCAACTTTGTTTTGCACTTACATATGTATGTACTAGAGCCCTAGATATCCAAGTATCGAGTACCAAAAATGTAATAAAAATAATAGTAGAAAGTTTTGGGGAGAAAGTCAAATTTTTTATTCAAAATGCGCGAGAAGCTCGAAAATGTTCGACCAAAATTATGAGCTCTAGTATGTACATATGTATATATGTCCATATATACTCGAATAATTGGTGCTATTTACCGCTGCTGGTATTTTCGGCCGAGTTCTTTCTCCAATTTATGGTATGCGCCTCTATTTTTTTCCAACAAATGGAGGGACCTACGGTTTAAACCTTATCGCCTCCGAACAACTGATGGGTTTTTTACAGTTCTTTATGGAATTTTCGTTTTCATTTCTATTTAAGGTAGAAGCTAGGTGTGATGGGTACAAAACGTATTTTTTCCTTTTTTACTTTTTAATAGAAAAACCTTTCAAAAAGTTATTGTAAAATTTCCAGATAGAAGTTTTCAAAACAAAAAGAGAACGCGGCGGTTTTTGTAAGATTCTGAAGTAATTCATCAGTTAACATTTTTCGTTCGACGAGTGCACACCGCTTTGCGATGGGAAGAAAACCTTTTAGCCAAGATCGACATAAGAATAAAGTTACAAGAAAAAGATCATTTCAAAGAAATCAATTGAGGCAGAAGGTGATTTAAATTTTAAAGCTGCAAGAGGAGAAAAACTGAAAGTCAAAAGTGGCTTTTAAGTATGCAATGGCGCTGGTTTCAAGTACGTTTTAATAAGCTTGACTTTGGTGTTTGGGGCATTAGAATCATTGTTAAAATGTAAACTTTACAACAGTGATATCAGAAATTCGAAATATTCACCTAGGGGAAAAACTTTCTGGAAATTACAACAATTATGGCTGCCTGTGTCTTTAATTAGGGTTTTTACCTGTACTCAAATTTGTAGAGAGGATGGGGTTCTCAATAAGTCAAACAGCCGATATTGTAGACAATGCTGGATTTACGGGTAGAGAAAATAACAGATAAAAACAGTAAAGAAACCACAACTTTACGAAGGGCTCTGAAAGCCATGAAAGGATTGCTCTATGCATCGATTTTTTATTTGCTGTTATATTCCCTGCAAACTGTTCAACTTTCCTGCGAGGACTCCACTTCAACACAAAAAATTATGATTAATCCAATTTAAAATTAAGTAAAAAATTTTTTGCGTGCTTGAAGGTAGCATTGCAAGAATGTAATAAAATACAAATTGATTTCTCCTTCTGAAAAAAATTCACGAAAAAACTTCGAAATTTCAACCGTTTTCTAATCGCTAATTAGAAACCAAACAAAGCGAATTCAATTGGCCCGCTGTGATACTCATGTTGAGTCTTTTAGAAAAATTTCTCTCAGGTTCCTGAAGGTTCAAACCCTTTAGTGTATTTTATGAAACCCACGAGATTACCGAGGTTCTCTGAAACAAATTATGCAAGGTAGTCGATCCAAGGAGGCGATTTCGAGCCACACCGAGAACTGGACGGTGCTTCTGCCTCAAAAATCATCAAATAATAGACGTGTCCTGGTGATCCGGCAATGAAGGAGTGGATACTCTCTTCGTTTTCAGTTGATCAATGTATGGTTACACAAATGTTTTGGCCAGTCTTAGCAGGTATTTAGCAAAGGAAGGTAATATAGCGCATCGCTTGCAGAATTTTCTACCTTTAGGATGTTTTCTCTTTCAGATATATTTAAAGTTTTACTGAATATTATTTAATATATTAAAATTTCAAAGTCCTTTAACAAAGAACTTTGATTTTCACAAGACCGTTTTTCTTTGCTTAACTATTGTCAGCCTGGATCTATATCCTGAAATAGTGGTTACATACATACATACAAATGTAACTTGATAATATTTTGTATGATTTTAAGAATGTACGATGGCGCTTCTTCTGTATTGGAACACCACGATGTGAATCCTTTCAGCCACCCCCGCCACCGTAGATTGCATCATTTGCAGCAGTCTCGCGACCACCTCTTCATCAAATAAATTTTCATCTTTTTGAAATATCTGCAAATTAGAAATTATTGCTGAAATTTTTATGTTTTTGGCATTTCTGCTACATTTAGCCACAAAACGAGTTCGCAGAAAGACGAGGGGACGAGTGAGTAAAAGCGAAAATCATATTTGTGTGAGTTTCAATGGAGACTAAAAAGGCGGTGATAAACAGAAAAATTGCAAGAACAAAAAAAAAACAATTTACTCTGATATTGTGGCGAATGCTTGTTTAAGCACACATGACAGCTGCTAATCCAGTGCGGCGTTTTCAGCTAGAAAGCTACGCAAAAATGTATGCCCACAAGTTCCCCTTCTTCAGTGCAAACTATATACACATATATGTATATATGTATGTATATAAGCGACATCAATGTCACCCTCATTTGGGCGGCGAAGCGTCGACCGGCAGCTACAACTAACCGAACGGCGGTTGCATTGTGCGGCACTGCTCAGAGTGGAGCGCGGCGGCGCTGAGATGAGCTGCACTGCTGCTCACTGTTGCTGTGGCGGGCAATATGCTATTAGCTAAATTATAATTGACATGCTTTCAGGGATGTTGATGCAAGTGCTTTGCGTCCCATGCCACACTGTGAGAATCACAGCAGTGGTTCGAGATATAAGAGGAAATATGCTTTTTTGCAAGCCTCTCACACTACACTCCAGTATCTCGAACGCTTTCCCTTATAATTATTTGGATTTTCTGCAAAACCTACTTAGATTTCTTCTGAAATACTATTCCTGGTATTTATTGTTGTTGCTTGGACACGGTTATGGATCCATTTGATTGTAACTTGCACACGCTCACTCAATTTTCCCACTGTTTGTTTCAAATAAACGAGAGTGCCATGAAAATTAAATTAACCTTTGGTTGAAGCAGGTTTTATGACTTCATTGGATTATGCTCTGAAAACGGTAAGTATGACTGGATAGTGCTAGTTGGAATGGTCAAATGGGTTTTGCACAGCGTTAAATGATTTCAATGAATGAAAACTACTGTAATTTACTTTTAAAAGCGATTTCTGGAAAGCTCCCCTAAAACCATTTCGGTTATACTCAAATTATGCAACATTATATAAAGCCTGGCGTACTATTTCCAAGTCACCAGCCAAAAAAAGGTCGGCAAATCTGTGAAACTTAAGAAACTATCAATTTATTTTATAGTTTTGTAAAATGAAATAATTCTAATGCTGCAAGCGAGTTTGTAGAGCTCATCGCATTGCCTAAGGCGGTGCGGATTCACATTTTCATCTAATCTGTGGTGAAAATGCGCCGGCAGAAATCGAAAAATAAATGCGCCTTCTTGCTCAAAATCTGCTTCCAGTACTGCCCACCTCCGTTGTTGGCCATGCCAATTGAAGCCAACAACAACATATAACAAGCCAGTGAGATTGAGTATTTGTTACGCCCCAACCAAGTGGTTGGCCGCTTCTCCTCCAACTCATCTTCGTCTGGGAAACGACTGCCATAGAAGAGTAAATAGCGTATGAGCACCAACTCCGGTTTACGCACCTCGATTATGGAGTTTTCCGTATTGCCCAACACATACCCAGGATGGTTCTCAAATTCACAAATCGCCACGCATGAAATCATCGAACCGCAACTTGAAGCACCCCAGCCTGCGCCATTTGGACTATGCTGCAGCGCAACTTTCAAGTCAGTGCTCAATTTTAGCGGCACATCCACATCGTCGCCGGCATTATCCGCATGATGGGGTACTTGCTTGTATGTGCCTGCTTGTGTCAGCATGGCAAAGAAACAATCTAGACGATTGCCGTAGAATGCCAACTTTGGTGGATGACCATCATCTATGTAGATGTTGGGCTCTTCTTCAATAGCTTCATGTATCAGCGGCATATTGCTGACGCGAAAGACATGCGTTGGCTTGGGCAACTCTGCACTTTGCTGCATATTTCTCAATATCACATCAAAATCATTATCATCCACCAGATGTAGCATTGGCTCGCGTTGCACCACCAGCACATGATGCAATAGATCCAAGACGTACGCATCGAATTCCTCGTAATTTTCGTCGACAATATTCTGTAGTATCACACGTAGTTTAGGCGTATCGTTGATGACCGAGATGAGTGCATCGATGTCGAGACTACCATCCGGTGAGACAAACCGCGGTGGAAAAGGTTTTAGCTGTGTATCGTAACGGTAGCTCAGCGCCGCCGCCACAAACAACGTCCACTTTGCATCGCAAGCTATGAGATCGCTTTCGAGTAAGAAACGCAGTGCGTTGATCTTCTCCTGTATATCCGCGGCTATGCGTAGTCCGCCACTACGCGATACGTGTGAGTCGTAAGGTCCATCACATTCTGATGACGTTTGAGAGGTCATCGGCGCCGAAGCTGAGTTGCTGTGCATTTTTGCTTCTAAACGCTTCGTTTTTGCTATTTTTCTTTACAGTCTCAATATTTTAGAAAATAAATAAATTTCAATTTGTCTGTTAAACGCAAAGTGTACTTGAAATTTTACGAAAACTAAATGCCGAATGTCACGACCATTGTTCAAGTTTACAAGTATGAAAAGTGCTTAAATTTCAAAACAGCTGAGATCACCTGATTTCATATTCTCGCACTGCTCATGACATTGTAATTATTTTTTGGAAAGTATTGTAATTGCAAACAAATTTCTAATAAAAGTACATATATTTATTGTTTATTGATTGACCTGTCAAATATATACTTGGAAGGGCTGAAATTCCCAGCCGAGCGGCACCTGTAGTTAGAAATTTTAACTTAATTTTTTATTTAAATTAATTTTCTGTAATTTTTCTATGTTGCTCGTACCAGGATTTGAACTCGAGTGTTCCGAACGGCAGTACGTAATGTTAACCACTAGCGCTTCGATTTGACAGTGACAGTTTCGCTACTATCTTTTCAAATCTCACCTCCGGACCAAAGAGGGTGCCGAATAGTAAGCCTTTTGTAGCTATTTCTTAACCCCTCTTTAATTATTTGAAGATCTTCGGAGTCCCAAATGCGGCAACTTTGCTTACTTACGTATTCTTGGATTGTGAAATGTATCTCGTCCCTGAAGAGAATTATATTCTACAAACTGTACTACAATTTTGAAATACGCCATGAAGCGCCGTGAGAAAGTCCCAGCTCTTGAGAGCGTCAAGCAATATATAGACACGTTCAGATCTTCGGCTACGCTCTTACTTCCAGCAGGACTTATAATATGTGTAGTTGACTTAGTCTCTTGAAATTTGTTTGAAACTCGACAAATTGCATTTGGACGATTATGTACATCATAATCTCCTCCAAAAGCCGCCATAAATGTCTAATTTTTAACTAAAGTAAAAATGCATATTTGGTTAGACAGTTGACTTTGGCAAATACCCAAATGCACCTCTGTACTTTTGAGACAACGAAATGTACAACCCTTTACATTTTCGATTTATGTAGTAGGTCTAGCTCTGAGCTATGGATCCGAGTAGTCTTCAGACAGCTTTAAATTCTTAATCCCTATTTTCTGAAAGTTCCACAGATATTTTAGCCGGTCGCTATGTTAAAGATTTTTTAAAAACTCAAATGGATTTAATTTCCGCGTTTTTCTTCGCTACATCCGTTAGTGGATTTAAGAAATATTCGCGAGTAGTATTTTTTTCATTGTTGCATCGTAACAGTTGTCAACATTTACACTCCATTCTTTCGTATTTTCCGTTTCGAGGGGAAAATCATGTTTTTTGTCTCATTTGGCGCTAATCTGGAGCAGCAGCTGTTGATGAACATATAATACAGGCTTGGAAGGAATGTGCCGTGTGTTTGGCAGCGCCTTAGATACCTTTTATAGCATTTTAATGGCTTGTGCATGATTTTCGAGAAACCCTGCGAGAAAGCTAAAAAATTCAAAGTCCCAATTTAAGCACAAAACATAGAATAGCATTGTAAGACAAATTTAAAAGATTTGTGACACGGCGATGTCCTACGAGCTGACAATTGTCCTACTATGCATCGGCTTCATACTAGTTTAATACTCGTTTATGTAGGCATGTTTAATTTCTACTTCACCAAAAAAAAAAAACAAATCGAATAAAATTCAGTTTGCCGGCTGCGAGAATCGAACTCAGACCCTCAAGCACCGCAGTGAAGATCTCTTACCACTAAACTATGGTTATGTTTTATGGAGGAACGAAATCTTCGAATCTCAGCAGAATTTTTCAGGAAATGAGACTCTACCGTGTCATACTAAATACAAAAACAACATTCGAATGACGTGGAGGTGAAAATTTCTGTTTCCACCAAAATTAAAATTAAAATTTTCCGTTTCAACCAAAATTTAAAAAAGAAAGTTAAATTAAAAAATTCAGTTTCACCAAATATTAAAAAAATTAAACTTAAAAATTAATTTGCCTCTAGCGGGACTCGAACAGGGGGTTTGACGCGCTACAACGATAACCTTTAACCACTCGGATATTATGCCGTTGCATCGGATCAATGTCATTTTGCGCAGTTTAATTCAGCCGCAGTCTACCGATATAACAACAAACAGTGGTGAAAATTGTTATTTCTCCCGTTACTGGTGCACTTCTTTACAAATAACGAACTAATGTAATTTCATCTTCAACATACTAGTATTAGGAAGATTATAAGTTTTTTATAATATATTCCTGGTATTAGTGTGGGTGGTATGCTTCCAGTGCAGTTTTATTTATTTATTTATTTATTTGAGTGAAATATAATTATTAATAATTACATTACATAGAAGGCAACTAGCAGCTTGGGCTATCGGCCTGACTTATTCCTAATAGATTTTATAAAAAAGTTTATAAAGTACCCTTAGAAATAGTATCTACAATAACTTAAATCTGGTGTAAAAGGTTACATTGATATATGAATTTGTATAATTTGTTTACATTATTTGCAGTTAAATTTTTTAAGAGATCAGTAGGCTTTTCATTATGAAAAATATTTATTCTTATGTATCTAAATTTTAAGCAGTCATCGATGATGTGTTTAATGGACAGAGGGCTATTACAAGTTAGGCATGAAGGAGCAGGCTCCTTTCTCAGCAGGTGCTCGTGTGTGATCTTCGTGTGCCCCAATCGCAATCTTGCAATAATTCGCAGCTGGTCGGTTGATGCTGAGGTTGGGAGGATAGGCTTACACCGGTTTTGATTATAGGTTTTGTAGGAGTGTTGATACGTTTGCCAGTTTCTCACCATAATTTCTTTAATATAATTTTCTGTTGTCCGGAAGAGGTCTGCTTTAATGTAGGTATTGTGGTAGATACTTGGCATTTGGTAGGCTTTTTTGGCTGCAGTGTCCGCGAGTTCATTGCCTGTAATACCGCAGTGGCCAGGTACCCACATGATTTTTATTTTGGAGTGATGATTCGATAACATATCTCTGGACTCTGTAATGAGTAGTTCCTTGCTCAGAGGATTTTGGAGTGCTTTTACACAGGACTTGCTATCGGAACAAATTATGTATTTGCCTTTGTTAAGCGTGGCGTGCCTTATGGCTAAGTTAATGGCAATACATTCGGCGGCAAAAATTGAACAGTAGGAGAAAAGAAGTCCGGATCTGATGGTTCTTCCGTCTTCCGTAACAACTGCGAATGAAGTCGAAAGGTCGCTTTTGGATCCGTCTGTGTATAAGAATTTCCACCCATTGATTTTCCACGATGTTTGGCTTTCCAGAAAAGTTTTTCGGTAGATCAAAGGGTTTGTGTTGTGTTTCGGATAGTCAAAAAGTTGATTTATAAAAACAGATGAAGGTAAAAGCCATGTTGGATTTTTTGCAGTTTTGGAAAGTATTGGATTAAGAGATATGTTGATCTTTTTTGTGCATTGGAAAACGTTGTAAATTGTTGATGGTCTTCGCATTATACGCGTTCTTTTAGTTATGTTTTTCATGTCCTTATAAAGAATGATGTTGTTGGTAATAAAACATTTGTGTATCAGCCGGAATGTACTTTGCATAATGCGTTCTTCGATTGAAGGAAGTCCGGACTCTGCCATTAGGTTATTGATCGGTGTTGTAGGAAAGGCTCGAAGGCTTCGTCGAATAGCAGCGTGATAGGGTGCGGCCAGGAGTGCTATCGTACTTTTAGCGCACTGTCCATAAATTGGAAGTCCATAATCGATGACCGACAAAATTAAAGTTTTTGTTACGTTTATTAAAGTGTCTGGATGTACTTTGCTATGCTTAGATGCTAGATATTTTACAATGTTAAGCCTAGTGTTTAGTTTTTTTCTTAAGTGCTTACAATGCTGCTTAAAATTCAATGTTTTGTCAAAGATAACTCCGAGAATTTTTAAACAGTTAACATTCTCTATTTTATGATTTCTATATGTTAAGTAATTGTTTTGACAAGTTTGTTTTCTACACACATGGAATAGGTGACATTTTTCATAAGAAATGTTTGCTCCTGAGTTATTAGACCAGTTATTTATTTCGTTAAGGATGTTAGAAAAAATTGTTTGTGTTGCTGTAAAATTATTGCTCTTTGAGAAAACTAATACATCATCTGCGTAAATTGAGTGTTNTGGTTGCATTTTTCCATTTATATTTTTGAGAAATTTATATACAGCGACTACTCCTTGGGAGCAAAGTTCACTTACGATTTCTTTTTCTGATACGTTGTTGAGAAAAGGAGCGTAAACCGTACCTTTGTTGAAATTAAGGTTGTCGTGATATTTAGCCTTAATGGGACAAATGCCATATAATTCTTTTAAGGCGAGGAATTTCTCAGCAACATTTTTATTATTGACAAGCAACAGAATGCTTCCGTCGCGAAGTTCCGATATTGATTGTATTTCTTTGCTAATTAAGTGGATCGATCTTTGAACTGCAAAGCAGGAGTAATGTGAGAGAGGCTTAGTTTTGTCACTTGATTCCAACACAACAAATTTTGGGTTGCTTTTTTGCACTGTAGGGAGCTCAGGAAATAGGTCGATACTTTTATTGAAGGAAGATTTTTTTTTTTTCTTTTTATTTATTTTGGAGCTTTCGGCTAGCAGGGCAAACCGATTAACCCCAATAACTGGGGGCCCGGAGGGCATCGTATTTACTTTAGCTAACTTTGTTTTTCACCAAAAAATTCACTAGAAATGGGATGAAAGAAAAAGCGAAAGTACAATAAAGAGTAAACCGAAAGACGTGTGTTTGAACGCTATAAGCACGAGCACTGAGAACGATAGAACCGATTGGCACAAGTGACAGTCGAAGACTGCCAGTGCAGTTTATCTTCAAGAATACCATGAACGAGCTTCAGGACTTTGCCTAGAAAATATATGAATTGGTAGCAATTTTCAGTAGAACTCAAAATCTATATTATATTATCCAACAATAATTGTAAAGAATTCATTCATTTATTACCGTTGAAAATTTTCCTAAAGGGTCTGCTGATGTACGCATTGACACTTAACGCACAGATTGCCGCAAATTTATATTCTACCAACTCAATCTTCGACACCTTAATTTTTTGTGTGGCAGAAATGTTTATTTTACACAAGTATTTTATAATTTTTTTGTCCTCTTTTTAACGCACACTTC